AAAGCATCAGTTTTTAAAAACTGTGTAAACAGCTCTGATATACTAAATACTATGATTTTTCTAAACAGATATTAGCTCAGAAACAGTAGTGATTGATACATTGCATACAATGAAAAAGAATTTAGAATAAAGGTTTTGAAATTCTTTGATTTTATAATGTAAAACTCTGGGGCATAAGTAAGAATAGGAATATTGAGATTCCACCAGCAAATTAATTAATTTCCTGATGAATAAAATAACTGTATTCTGGGTTTGCAATTTTCCAGTAAAATAGTATTAAAATTTTGAAAAATCAGACTGTTTCCATTAGCCCAAAAGAATAGTTACCTGGAGGGTCAGTATCCATTTAAAGGGAAAATTTTTTGCTTGTAATACATGCTTACATTAAAACTTCAAACTACTTCATGAGAGCAACATACATTTGTAGATACTCAGAGTCTTATTCCCAGGCTATAGTGTCTAGTGCCTCAGAGGCTGCCAGGAGGATTTGAAGCACTGATCTGAAGGCAGGTCTTCTGCCTCATGCTTCTTTTCTACAGCACTTTCTTTTGTCACATATTCCTTCCAACTCTTATCTTTCTATCTCCTTCATTGAATCCCATTCTTGGTCTTGGATTGCCTCAAAATGACTTAGGAACCTTTGGACATTGGAGAACGTGGATGCACATCCTGGAAGGTCACTGCCTCTTGGCAGGCTTTTTGCTGCAGGAAGACTCTCTTTCACTGCTGCCTCCTCTCTCATCAATGTTCAAATATGCTGCAGTTTCTCCAGAGCAAACTTCAGGTTAATTGGGCATAGGTACTACTGTCAAATTTAGCACTTTCCTTGGCTAGGTTTTAGAATACAAAATATAATTTCAAAGTTTTGGTGTTCTTGGTTTAATGCATCGATTATATCCTGAACAGACAGTTTTTTCAGGTGCTGAACATTTTGTCAGGGGCTGAGGTGGATCTAGCATCTCAGTTAGTGTCCATTTCTGTCCCAAGATATGTTCAACTGGGACGTTTTATAACATGATCAGTGATTGACACTTCATGTAAAGCAAGGGAAGTCACAATACAATTTCTGCCATTAAGGCAGGGAAGAAGATACAGAATGACTAGATGTCATGAAGTATTTACAGGAGTTGAGCTTCCTTATTTGTGGCTAGGTATTGCTTTTCATTTCACAAGACAAAGGAAAAAGTGAAGCACTGTTTTTCACTTAATTTTTGCAAGTTTCTGGTCATCCTGTCATACATAATACTTAGCTTCTAAAACTAAATTGGCATAAGTAAAGATTTTTCAGTTGCTAAATGTTGTTCCTTATTGTATCAGGATTTTCTAGGGATGCTTTTAAAATAATTTTACTGGTTTGGAAGAAAATGCAGAGTTTTGAAAATGGTTTGAAATTGCATAAATTGTTACAAGTCTTTATAGGAGACAAAGATAATATAGTGCATGTTTTCAGATTGCAGGTAGAATAATGAGATAGAAAGAATTTCAGAAAGTTAATCTAAAGTGAAGAATGCATGAAAGAAGCTCATATTCCTGAGTCTGTCAGTAACTTTTTGCAAAAGTCATAAAATGAAAAACTGAAAAATCTTTATTACTTATATGAAGTTAAGAATGTCTGGCAATGAAGTTGTAGACAAATGAAATGAAGAAAATTGTGACCAATGCTACTCCTATTGAATCTAAGAAATAAATTTTGACTATGGGGTGCATCTGGCTTCGTTTCATGCCAACAGAAATTAGCCATTGATACCCAGGGGAATTAAATGGGACCTGCCAGATACAGTTTGTTTTGACTATTCATTCAGTACTTTTTAATGAAGCAACTAAATTAGGCATAACTTGCTACAGCTTCAATGAACACATTGCAAATTATTAAAATGATAAAAGTATGTAGCCTTAAATACTGTCTTAGAAGATTGTGATCCAAAGAGCCTTGGAAAGTGCTAATGCAAGTGAATATTCTGAAGAGCAATTCTTCACTGTTATTTTGCAGTGAAAACATAATAAACATAAAATATTAGTTTATATTTTGGAGCAAAACAAATTGCTTGTTGTATTTAAGCTATATTTGTCTGATGTTTTCTAAACTTCTCTGAATCACCTGAAATGAGAAAAACCTGAAAAGACTGTCTTTGAAACCTAGGATAATTAATGTCTTTGAAGAATAGTGGGCTAAATTGTACTACTCAGTTTATTTAACTTTTATTTAACTATTGAAAATATGTGTTCAGTTTTTAAATATTGTCTAAATTTCTGTATGACTTCAGATCATGTGGCTTTCTTGTGTTTACCTGCTTCAACATATAACAGTTTCAAGCAGCCTTGTATTTTTAAATACAGTATTTGTAATTTGTCTGGCTCTCAGTGAAGTTCACACATGTTTATAACATTTCACCATGTTTCTTTCACCACCATTACTAGTACCTAGTATACAATATTTAATAATAAATATTTTAAAAATTGAAATTTAACAACTTGCTCTAGCTAGTGAAGAAGTTATCTCGACATCATTGTACATATACTATATTGGAACAAGAACAATGAATGAAGTAAAAGTCTACCAAGGCTTCTGAAAATGAATAAATAAAAATTGCCACTCAATATGGTAGTGAGAAATATAAAGGAATTCCAGGGGCCAAATTATGTGGATTTTGTAGGGGAGGAAAAAAAAAAAAAGCTTTTTATCAAAATCAAGCTAAGAATGAATAATGAGATTTTTTTCTCCATTGTCAAAAGCACCACACAAATCCCATATAAAGATGACCCAGAATCCACTATAATATTGTAAGGTATTTTGAATGTGAGCATAGCAAGTAGATAGCTTGTTATTTTTTGATTGGTGTTAAGATGCAGCTTGAAAACAATTAAATCTAAAACTCATATTGGCATAACCGAGAACAAGGTGTCTTGACAATATGAAAAGAGAGTGCATGCCTCCTCTTGAAATTCACCTGTTTTTTGTTCCTGCTGCTAGGTGAATCTCCAGTAGATATTCACCTAGCAGCAGGAACAAAAAACAGGTGAATTTCAAGAGGAGGCATGCACTTACATGCATGAGTAGATGGAATCTCTGCTATCTCTCCTAGCTGCTTTTGTAAGAGTCATAAGCACTATTCACTAGATGCCATATTAGATACCAGATAATTTATACCTATTATGAGATAAGACTTCCTAACATGCTTTGCAAAGTGATGTGTAAGAGTTGTTTTATTGCAATTGTCTCAGAAACTTTTGAACATGAGGAACAGATTGAAGAGATGGTTTGTGGGAAAATCCATAGAAGAGAATCATGGAGGCAAGCCTAACTGCCACCAACCATATCTGCTAAAATCCCTATCAAAAAGAAAACATGCCACTGTAAATTCCATGTCTTGTGAAGTGACAAGATGGAGAGCACGTAACTGTTACTGAAAGGTGTGCTGATATTAGTAGACTAAAAGCCAAGTAATTGCTAAAAGTTTCTTGATGAGATCCTACATGAACATTAACAACTTTGTATGCAGTATATAAATTGTATAAGTACAATGGTCAGGAATACAAACACCATCTTAGGAATTAAGAATTTTATTTTTTTTAACAGACCCTGTCTTCACTACAGTGAATGCAATTAAAATTCACCATGGTCAAGTAAATCTAGACATTTGCAATATTGGCAGAGTTTATTCTTTCATGTCTGTCAGTTGCAATTCAAACACGTGTTTGAAAGAGGCTAACCACAAGAACTTGCTTCCTCTAAACCCTGTAACCTTGTTCCCCAAGAATAAAGCTTTGCCAGTTTGCACTAACAGTGGGCACTTCACTTTGTATCTTTCCTATAGTGTATCATAAGACAGCAAAAGATAGCATACCTATGATCTCTTGCAAAACAGACCTAATAGAACTTAGTCTAATAATTCATGTAGTAACAAATACATCTATTTTAGTATTTCCGCACTTAATTAAACACTATGAACTATGTATCCTATTTTGATTTATGAGGTCGATATAGTAACTTTGTATGGATACATTTTAGTTAAAAATTATAGGCTTTTTTATAATTTTAGGCTTGGTGCTAGGAACTGTAACCCTTGATAATAGGGACGTGTTTTTAAGGCGTCTTACTGAGCTCCGATTGTGTTCCATGATCTATCATACAGGAAAAAAAAAGAAAACAAAACAGAAATTGAAAAGCTCCCCTAGTATTTTTGTTTGTTTGGGTGGTTTTTGTTGCTTTTTTGTTTCTTTTGTTTGTTTGGGGGGGTTGCTTGTTTGGGTTTTTGTTTTTCTGGGGACAAACATCAGTTTGTCTATCAGTTAATCAGGGGGAGAGTTGTGAGTCGTGAAAATCCTTCTGGCCGCAGAACACACCGGTTTCTGCAGAACCTTCTCCTAGTCTTACACCGGAAAACAATTGCTTTCGACGTCCAGATTCACTCTTTAATGAGAAAATGACTCACCACCAAACTTTCCCATTCCCGTCGGAAAATGAAGTTTTCCGATGATAGTCACACCGTGGTGACCGAGCGCCTTCGCCTTTCTCCGCGGAGACACCGCCTCCTCACTAACAGCGCCACACGGGGTGATTCTCTGCGCCCGCTGCCTTTCTCCGCACGCTCCAGAGCTCTGCAAACCGGTCCCATCCTTGCACCACCACGCCCAGTCTCGCCCGCCGGGCAGGACCCGCGGCGATCGCCGGGCGAGCACAAGTTGCGGCGCGGAGCGCACGGAGCCCCGCGGCCGGGCCGGGCCGGGCCGGGCCGGGGCCCTTGACGTGTCCCGGCGCCGATTGGCCGCCGGCCGATAGGATCTCCGCGGCCCCGCGTTAAGGCGGGGGGGCGCGCGGCGCCGGGAGCAGAGCGCTCCCGGTGCGGCACCCGGGGCCACCTGCGGCGGCGGAGCCGGGCGAGCCGCGGCGATTGGCGGCGGCGCTGACAGCGGGCGGGGCGGCGGCGGCGGCACCGCCCACCCCCCGCTATAAGCCTCTTTGCCGCTTTCTCACTGGGTCTCATTTTCGCTTCGTGCGTTGCTGTGGCTGCGCAGTGGAAATCCGCACCGGGGAGCTGCTGAGGGGCGCCGTTGTCATGTGAAAGCGCACATGCTCTGCCATCCACACGGCACCCCCCTCTCTTCTGCCTCCGCGTGTTTTTGCTGTTTTTTTCTAACGTAACTCCTTTCCTCCTCCTCCCGTGCCCAGCCCCTCGCCGCCGCTCGGCCGCCCAGGCCCCCCCCGCAGAGGCTCCGCCGCGGGCAGTCGCGGGGCGGCCGCCCCGGAGCAGCGCGCCGGCGGCGGGGAGCCCGCGGAGCCGCGCCCCGCGGAGCCGCCCCGGAGGTATGGTTTTCCCGGCGGAGCAGAACTGCGGCCGCTGCCACCTTCGCGGGTGTTGAGACGGGATTTGTGCGGTGCGGTTCCTGGGCTCCTAGCTTCATGACTGCGCGGAGCGGGGAACCAACACCATGCGAGGTAAGCGGGCCGGGGGGCGGCTCTCTTTTGGGAAACCTTGTGGGGAACGGGCTGGAGAAGAGCCTTCTAGAGGAGAGGGTCCGGGGGAGAAAGTTGATGAGTCTTGCCCGCCCGCCGGCGTGGCTACTGACGGTGTCATTCCTGCACCCGAGGGGTTCTCGAGCCAGAGCGAGGAGCCTTCCGCGGCAGATGGTGGCGGACACCCCTCGCGTACTGCCCGGGGAGCCCAGCGCCGCCTGGCCCGTGGCGGGCAGGTAGAAGGGAGGCTCAGGTGGTTGGCAGTGTCTGTGCCATGAGGTCCCCACCTGCAGCTGCCCGCGGGCGCGGCAGGGTGTCCCGTACGGCGGAACCCGCTGCCGCTTGGTCCCGGTTCGCTGCCAGCACGAAGAGGGTTTCCCCTTCTCTCCCCAAAAGTTATCTGGACTTTGTTCCCCAACCGGCACCCTCTCCTGGGGGCCCCCGTTCCCCATGGGTTGCTAATTGGGCGGCAAGGGTTGCGCTGCCCGGGAATCCTTTCCCCGTGCCCGCAGGTCTCTTTGGGTCCCCGAGCCTGTGCTGCCTGCGCAGTCCGATCGTGGAGTGCGGGGGAGATTCCTCCAGGGCTTGCAGCCGCACTCGGTGAGGGTCCCGCTGGAGAACAGAGTACCGTCGCCGACGGGACACTCTCAGGCGTGGAGAGCTGTTTGTCCAGTTCGGCTGGAGAGAGGCAGCGTGCTGGCACGCCGGGCAGCCGAGTGGGGGTGTGTGTAGGGTTGCGGAGCACATGGGAATGCGTTGTTTCCGTGTATCCCAGGACCAGATTCCCCTGGGCCCCATCCCCGAGCCAGGCGAACACCGGCGCCGGGGCAAGAACAATCCCTGTTCAGCCTCGGGCGTCCGTGGGGTTTACACAGCTCCTCCGCCCCCCATCTCCCACCTTGCCCTTTATCACCCAGTTTGGAAGAGCGGTTGCTTGCCTCACCCATGGCTTGGTAAAAACCACAAAAAGTATTCTCTACGGGGGTATTGGAACGGAGGAGAAGAGCTTATGGAGGGTGGGACGCGCTCGGGGTTGACAGCGGCACTGCATGCAGATTTCTTGATCTTCCGTTTAAGGTAGGACACACACACACATCTACTATAAAGAAATTCTAGCTAGAATTTCAGCTTGTTTGATGTCATCTCCTGTAACAGCACGTGTTAATATAGCGCTAACAAATCACACGTGTGTAATTGGCTTTAAAAGAATTGTAGCTATGACATTTGCCCAGATCGACTTTAAAAAGACCTTCTTTTCCCCCAGCGTTCTTTGTTAGAGTGTTGGTTGTGGGGCATCTGGCAAGAACTTGCTAAACGGTGTTTTTTTTTCTTAAGAGCAACAGGAATTAAGGGAAAACACTCCATTCTGTAAAGTAGCCCCATTGCAGCTTTGACGCTTGGGTTGGAGGTTTTCTATTTGTTTGAGTATGGGTTTTTGTGGGTTTTGGTATTTTGTGGTTTTTGTTTGGGTTTTGTCATCCCTTGTTTTTCTGTGCACCAGAGTGCCTCCAATTTGAGTAAAGCTGGTCATTATCTCAAGGGGTTGTTTTTCAAAACGTGACCCCTGGTCAGGAGCCGTAACTCCCCTTTCTGGGGGGCAGTTCATCCTCGCAACCCGTGGCTCCCACCTCTCCTCCCCTGCTCTGGGGTGCCCTGTGCAAGGGTGAGGAGTAATGCCCACCCTCTCCTCAGATGCTTTCCTTCTAAACAAGGCCCAGAGTGGCCTAGCTGTGCTGGGCAGGGAGAGGAAGGTAGATCTTGCTACACATCTGGTTACATCTCCTGCAGGATCTGCCCCAGCTCCGTAGTCATCTCTGCCACCCCTTTAACTGTGCTGTCAGCCACTGTGAAGGGGTGCAGCTCTGCCCCTACAATGCAAATTAGTATTTGCATTGTATTTATGCTTACTCAATAGGGAATTTACAGGTGTGGGGAAAAGGACTGGGATGGATGGAAGAGAAAAACAAATAGGCAACTTTCATTCTTGTTTGAAACTTACATGCAAGAGGTCAGTAAAATGAAGTTTTACAACAGGTGTGTGTCAAGGCAAGAGCAGTGGTTCATACCACCTCAATTAAAAAGGAGCATTACACATTAATTGAGCATCTGTCTTTGCGGCTTTCCAAATAATGGAAATTAACCAGTGTCACAGTTCAGATTGTGAGCTCCCACGAACTGGTGCTTTTAAAGAGCTGTGAGCCGCCTTGTAAGGGTGTAGTTGTTTTCAGCTGTATTTGCAGTTGGTTTGAAGGAGGAAGCACTCAGGCTTGAACATGCGAGCTGTTTTGCCAAACTTTCCAGGCTGAGCTGTGATCCTTCCAAGCTGCAGTTGGGGCAGTTGGCACAACATGCATGGGATGTTCAGGGGCTGCTCCACATTGGAGATGGAGGCCAAAAAGTGCCTGAAAATACCCAGCCTGTTACTGCCTGCTGAATCCCCAAGCACTGGACAGTCACATAGACTGTCAGTCGTACCATCGATTGAAAGCCAAGCCAGCATTTTCAGTTGTTGTTACAATCATTGGTGGTGTTCTATGCAAAATGATAAGTTTCTGCACTTCAAACCTTGATTTCAATCCCATGAAGCATATGTAGCCATACTGAATTACAGCAGAACAACATACAGGACACTGGGCATTTGTTGATATGGAAGGTCCAGATATTTCCCTCTGAATGTAAAATGGATTTTTTCTGGAGTTTTATACCAGTATTTTATAGAGACAAACATAGGTGTAAAAGAAATTTACAGTGAACATTCATTGCAGTCTTCCTTCCATCTGTCCCACTCCTGGCAACATCCTGTGAGGGAGGTAAGAACATAGAATGTGTGCTTCCGTATATTTTTTAGAAAAAGAGAACAGAAAAAGCACTAAAATGATTGATTGTGCTATTTAACTGACAAAGAAGACTTACGTTTTTCCTTGTAGTTTATTTCTTAGTAAAGTGATTTGTAAAGTTTAAAGCTATTAAAAGTTAGTAAATTCTGTGTATAATGCAGCTGTTATGCAAACGTGGAAGGTTGACTGTGGCAAAAAAATGGGTCAAAATATCTACTTTTACTCTGGGAATATGCTACTCATACACATACAGAAGTCAATTTTGTGATTGTATCTATTTGAGTTGTGAAAGTGACATTAGTACACAAGTACTCCACTTATTACAAAAGTAATATTTAAACTTTTAGTTGAAAATCTTACTAAAAGCTTTTTTGTTACGTTTTAAAGAAAAAAGAACCCCAACCCCCCTGAGACCAAGTTCTTTAAGTGAGTTTTCTGTGTAGTTTTTTCTTGTTGGTGTCAGGATGAGCAATAACGCATGTTGCATGATGTTATGTAGTTGCTCCATTTTCTTAGCATGACTGAAATATTTGTAAGAAATTAGAGAAGTGATCAGACAAATTCTATATGCAGTATTTCTAAGCGAGCTTATTATGTAACACATACAAAGAGACCGGCTCACTTAGAAGTCCTCCTTAATTGAGTAGATGAGTGTGGGTAACCTTTATAGACTCCTTAGCTTCAAAGGAAAATTATTTTGCAGTTTACTCCAGCAAAAGTAAATATGTTTCTATTTGTAATAGGTAACATTAATTTTCTGAAATACATTGATTGCATTGAGTATGTAAAGAAAGGACTGTTCCTTTCTTTAAAACCAATGTGTCCTCAAAGTGTAGTGCATCTAGCACCTCCTTAATTGAATCAGGTTATTGACTTCTTTGGGACTCCTTGATATGTGATAAAGCACAAGTTTCTGGTGTTAGGTGTTCACGGACAAAATGTAATGAATGTCAGTAAATGCTTTGATAATCACGAATCAGTAGTAAACTGTGTCGCATAGTAAAAAATACAGATGTATATAGTCAATAAACAGTGACACCCCTCTAGAATGAACAAAAATAAAAGGGAAAGCATGAGTGCCCATTTGTACTTCAGCAATCCTTTTACTTTGCATTAGATCGTACTTATATTACATATGGTATCTTCCATTTATCTCTAATTGTAATATGCTATATTATTGGTGTTCAAAGGAGAGTACATCATGAAAGTTCATCAATAGATAACTATATTATTTAATAGTATGTAGATATTATACAAGATTTTTTTCGTAATATAATTTTTTTAAGTTACTTTTTTTTCATAGATGGAAGTCTGGTGACAGTTAATTTAAAAACTACAAAAAATATCATGTGCACTGGCTGAGAATAAATGCTCTTTTGTGTCATGGAAAATATCTGACTTCCACTGTTGGTCTTTTACAAATCCAGTGGCAAGCAGTAAGTTGGTATGTTTTTTCTAATTTGACTGTGCAATAGTAAAGGTCATTTAAATTGTGTATTATTGTTAAAAACTATTTATGGCATTTGAGGAGTGAATCTATCAGGAAAAAAAAAAACATTTTTTTTTTAAGTAGGCAAGAATTCTGGAAGTCAAAATTCCTGTTCAAAATGAACTGGTGATATTTTGTGGAAAGTCTTCAGGGTGCTATGGAAGGGATGGCTGTAAATCATAGTGATGTTTGCCTCCTCAAAAAAGTGTGGGTAAGGTATACCTTCAACAGTACTAAGTTTTATTAAACAATTTCAGGACTCGGGGTCTGCTGTAGTGTGCACACTGGTTACCTGACACAGGAAAGCAGTTCAAGGGGGTGAAAGATTCCCAAGTTATCCAAGAAATTCCTACCTCACAAGCAGTGCAGCGAGTTCCCAGAAGTTAAGGTCTGCGCTGCGAAATAGAAGAATGTCTGCTTTGTAGCTGAAGATGCACACAGGAGTAAATATTGATTGAACTAATAATCTGGTGAATAGAAATGAACTTTATCAGTACAGCAGTATAATGGCTTACGTTAACTAGCTGTTTTGTAGTCCATACCCCGCCCTTTCAACCCATGACCCTGTCAATTTTGCTTTTAATGAGCAAAATCACAGGTGTTACATTTGTGGTAAATTGTGCTAAATATATTAGTTGTTCCAGTTTCAAAACTGA